CTTTGGCAACATTTGATGCACACGCCATTCCGAAATCGCAGGAGGGTCGGTGTAATGCACTACCAAAACGCCCGTAACTAAGAAACAAATGCTAATTCGATGATGCCGGCTGGCACACTGATTCACTATGAATGTAGGCCGCACCCACTAGCGGCAGAAGCTCGTACTACATCCGGTTCGCCCTCTATTGACACAGTCTTGAAACTTTCCGATCGCACTTCGTATAACACGCGGTTGCACGTCAGGGCTCGGTTTCTGAAGAAGAAGCCTCGCGAATTCCTTTGTCTTCCTTTGCTGTCATGCGATGGTCTGATTCTCCATCCAAGGCGTTTTACTGCCTTCATAATGAGAACGAAATGGTTTTATTTTCTACAAGACAGAAGGAAAAAGGCAGAAACCGATGTAGTCCTAAGAATTATGAGGATGTACGTTATAAATAATTCCAATACGAGATTTTGTTCATATGAACTTTTATAATCAAGCTCACACCCTGCATGGATCGTTATCCGAACACGAAAACGATTAACGAAGACAAGCAAAGACACGACGAAGCCCAGTCAGTCTGTAACCAGAGAAAGTACATGAATCAGTTCGCCACTTTCCCACTGCTGTTTACAAAACTTTTTCTATATTCTTTTTATAGCGTTCGTTATTATCAAATATATTTCTTTAAGCAACAACACTGTTGAAAATGGCTGTCATCTGGTAGTCAGGTTTTACAAGTACTTTCTACCCGCATAATCAGGGCGATGAGGACACCTCTAAAACGTCGGTGAATTTTTACCAGACTACTCGGGGTAATAACCCAGATGACAAGCCATCTTCATACGTGTCGCCATGAGAACCTGAAATCTCACTTTATAAAAATATTTTCAACTTTCACTGGTCATTTTCCGGTTGTTCGTGAACGGCAAACGCCCCTATAAAAACATCGCTTTCCGAGCTGTCTCCATGAACGACGCTATTGATATGGGGAGGGACTGCCTGTAATAAAGTCACTCGCCGTGCTATAGCGACAACTTCTCTGACTCTTCTGCGTGGCAGATAACCTACATTTGCCACTGCAGGCGTAGACAGTATCAACGTCTCGGCTACAGACATTCAGGGCACAGCGAGACGGTATTCTATAAACAAACGGTAAAACACGCTTATATCGGAATTAAATGAAACGGAGAGGAGTCCATTCAAGAAAGATATTTCATTCCCAACACGAAAATACTGCACAGTAGATCTGAAAACTCAATGTACGGTATTTGTAAAATGTCCGTACAAGAATAGCGACGTTGCGAACTTCTGTTATGAAGATATCCGTCTTCTGGGTTGTTGCGCTGTGTAGTCTGGTCGATGTTAACCGACGTTTCAGAGGTCATACTGCCTCCGTCATCGCCCTGATGACGGAGGCAGTATGACCTCTGAAACGTCGGTAAACATCCACCAGACTACACAGCGCAACAACCCAGAAGACGGAAATCTTCATACTCTGATGACGGAGGCAGTCTGACCTCCGAAACGTTGGTTAACATCGACCAGACTACACGGCGCAACAACCCAGAAGACGGAAATCTTCATACTCTGATGACGGAGGCAGTCTGACCTCCGAAACGTTGGTTAACATCGACCAGACTACACGGCGCAACAACCCAGAAGACGGAAATCTTCATACTCTGATGACGGAGGCAGTCTGACCTCCGAAACGTTGGTTAACATCGACCAGACTACACGGCGCAACAACCCAGAAGACGGAAATCTTCATACTCTGATGACGGAGGCAGTCTGACCTCCGAAACGTTGGTTAACATCGACCAGACTACACGGCGCAACAACCCAGAAGACGGAAATCTTCATACTCTGATGACGGAGGCAGTCTGACCTCCGAAACGTTGGTTAACATCGACCAGACTACACGGCGCAACAACCCAGAAGACGGAAATCTTCATACTCTGATGACGGAGGCAGTCTGACCTCCGAAACGTTGGTTAACATCGACCAGACTACACGGCGCAACAACCCAGAAGACGGAAATCTTCATACTCTGATGACGGAGGCAGTCTGACCTCCGAAACGTTGGTTAACATCGACCAGACTACACGGCGCAACAACCCAGAAGACGGAAATCTTCATACTCTGATGACGGAGGCAGTCTGACCTCCGAAACGTTGGTTAACATCGACCAGACTACACGGCGCAACAACCCAGAAGACGGAAATCTTCATACTCTGATGACGGAGGCAGTCTGACCTCCGAAACGTTGGTTAACATCGACCAGACTACACGGCGCAACAACCCAGAAGACGGAAATCTTCATACTCTGATGACGGAGGCAGTCTGACCTCCGAAACGTTGGTTAACATCGACCAGACTACACGGCGCAACAACCCAGAAGACGGAAATCTTCATACTCTGATGACGGAGGCAGTCTGACCTCCGAAACGTTGGTTAACATCGACCAGACTACACGGCGCAACAACCCAGAAGACGGAAATCTTCATACTCTGATGACGGAGGCAGTCTGACCTCCGAAACGTTGGTTAACATCGACCAGACTACACGGCGCAACAACCCAGAAGACGGAAATCTTCATACTCTGATGACGGAGGCAGTCTGACCTCCGAAACGTTGGTTAACATCGACCAGACTACACGGCGCAACAACCCAGAAGACGGAAATCTTCATACTCTGATGACGGAGGCAGTCTGACCTCCGAAACGTTGGTTAACATCGACCAGACTACACGGCGCAACAACCCAGAAGACGGAAATCTTCATACTCTGATGACGGAGGCAGTCTGACCTCCGAAACGTTGGTTAACATCGACCAGACTACACGGCGCAACAACCCAGAAGACGGAAATCTTCATACTCTGATGACGGAGGCAGTCTGACCTCCGAAACGTTGGTTAACATCGACCAGACTACACGGCGCAACAACCCAGAAGACGGAAATCTTCATACTCTGATGACGGAGGCAGTCTGACCTCCGAAACGTTGGTTAACATCGACCAGACTACACGGCGCAACAACCCAGAAGACGGAAATCTTCATACTCTGATGACGGAGGCAGTCTGACCTCCGAAACGTTGGTTAACATCGACCAGACTACACGGCGCAACAACCCAGAAGACGGAAATCTTCATACTCTGATGACGGAGGCAGTCTGACCTCCGAAACGTTGGTTAACATCGACCAGACTACACGGCGCAACAACCCAGAAGACGGAAATCTTCATACTCACTGCTGTGAGAACCTCAAGTCTTACAACTTCTGTTATATCGGATAAATTTAACGTAGTCGGGTGCTATACACACATGTGGGAAGTGCGCAAAAAGATGAATAAACTGTATAATTATTAATTTAGATCTTTTTCTCGGCTTACGATATAGACTGAAGCATACGAAGAAAGTAGGTTATGACATACTTCCTAGAAGTCTTCGTTATTACAGGACAGACATTTACAAAAGATGGTCTGAGAAGATGGTAGACGTAAAGACTCTGTGGAAACAGACAGAATATATTAAATAAGAGAAGCCAGACAGCTTATACTTCAATAAGACATAACAGCAGCGTAGTTTGGGACACGCTGTAGTATCCCAGCAGACTCAAGAAGACTTTTGTCTAGTAGACACAACCAGCAAAATAGTGAAAACAAATTTAATAACTGTTTAAATGTCTTTTATTCGTGATTCGCGACACAAAGTTACGATTTAAATCTTAAATTGTCTAAATGAGAACAAATGCGACTACATTTGTTCGATTCTTACTGTCTCGCTGACAATAAAGTTGTCCCAGTCTGTAATACGCGGTGTAGACTCGTAGATCGATACGCTGAATATATATCGATATCAACTGATTGAGGCTCACCTGAATCGCTTGTGAAGAGGAGGGACTTTGCCTCGGACACTGTGCACTGGGGCTCCTCCGAGTCCAACATCTTGTGGAGCATCAGCTCCACGACACATTCGAGGTTTGTCTCAGTCAGGTCCATGAGCAGAACGGCTTGGTTCAAGAAGTGGGCTATGTCCAGTGTCGCCCTTATTTCAGCGCTAAAATCTTTCATTTGCACTTTCTACGTTAGAGAGAGAGACAGGGAGAGAGAGACTAATTAATTTCTGGAAAAGTTTAAGAACCTCTGCATAATTAATTTTATTGTTAAGTATTTTTATTTATTTATTATTTATTTAGTGTTCTGTCTGACGACAGGTCCATATGAACAGGATCCTTCCATCTTTTTCTCGGACTGGGACCTGTTCATATACGTTCTTGGCAGATGATCCAGAAGTGGTTTGCCATTGCCTTCTTCTGTGTGTGAATGGAGTAATTGTGGGGATGCCACGGAGGAAAACTCCGTGTTGCCTAGACCACGGCCTTGCCCAACACAAGTTATAAATTCGGGCACCGCCGGGAATCGAACCCGAGACCCCAGGATTACAAGGCCAGCGTTCTAACCGCTAGACCACCGTGGCGAACATTGTTAAGTACTCAACATGAAAATGAAACAGCCTCAAATACTTTGAACAAATTTAAAAGAAAACTACTTTTCAACCTGCAATCCAATGCTTGTCTCTTGACAGCTTTATTTATTTATTTTAATATCCTGTATCAACTTGAATTCAAACCAGATGCATTATTTATGTGCTAATCCGATTTTGTCTGTTGCCACAGTTTAAAGTTTGTCCAACTCATAGACAAGGAAGGATGTCGTGAAAGATTTACAATTTCAAGCGAATATCAACAGATTTTGGTGAATTAATTTATCTACAATAAATACAATACACTTACTTCATGTTTAGAGTACATGAGGGTAACTTCTTCCCCGTCATCTGAAAGAAACAATAACATTTGCTTCAAGGATCTATTATTATCATCTTCGCTAATGAACTTCGTCTTTTCACAGACATTTTGACAATTCAATCAAGGAACCACATTTATTCCGTTTTTCAAGAAAATCATACAGTGTGATTTCATATTCTCAATTCTTTCTGGGATATTACGCCGTGTAATCTAGTAGGAGTTTAAAGGATATTTCAGAGGAGCTTGCTGCCTCCATCATCCATCATCAACCTCCAGCCTTGGTTTCAAAGTAATCACAATTTTGTCAGTCATTGTCAAAAATAGCTACGGGATTCAGATAACGTAAGACGCAATTAATTTACTAATTTAACCAATTTATATCTTATTTTTCACATATTCATATATTATAAATAAGTTCCTATGCGTTTTATATTATTTCTTACCCTAATATAATGTAACTCAGTGTAATTTCGTCGGAAATTGATATTTTATGGTTAGATACTTCATGTACAAAATATTAACAGAGTATTATGTGTAGTGTTCATGAAGAGTAACGACAGCATTGTAAAATTAATGATTATATACTGGTAATAATGTTAATAGTAACAATAACGACAGAATTGTAACATTAATGATTATAATACTTTTATTTTCCGTCGTTTACACAAGCTTATTGTTAAAATCATATAAAACATTTCACATAAAATTGTTACATTTTAACATTTTAACATTTTTATGTGAAATTTTATATGATTTTAACAATAAGCTTGTGTAAACGACGGAAAATAAAAGTATTGTATTGAAACACAAGCATGATGCAATTAAGATATAAAAAATTAATGATTATATACTGGTAATAATAATAATAATAATAATAATAATAATAATAAAACAATGACAACTGAGATGGTATGTAGCTTGAACGGAATAGATTTTAATGTTCATGGTGACGAATATGATGATGATTATAATAATAATAATAATAATATCTATAATGAAAGAGTAACTGGGAAAATAATAGGATTTATAAGCAGAGAAATTTTAGAAATCCTGACTCTTATTTAGCTACGGATCTGAACCCAGGCCCACTTTATTAGAGGCAGGTTTGTACGAAAAACTGCACTTCATTGGTGCATAACTGCAGTTTTACAGATCAAAAGAATGCGCTGCTAAGCTTACCTTTAGCTTTCCTAGGTCCCATACTTGTAAATATTATTTCGTGCACAAACTTTGTCGTCCGACAACTTAAATAAAACTAAAAAAAAAAAAAATTATCTAAGCCATTCGAGACGTCCTGTCTATTGTAAACAAAAATCAATTTGTCAGAACTCAGCGTATTATTTCCAAAATACTCGAGCGTTACTCCAACTCCCACAAGCACTTTGAAAGACGCCAGCAAAGTGACTTCAAGTAGGGGCTGCTTAGAGTTAGATTACCTTCCTATCATCGACAAAAATTATGGCTGGATCACATTTGGAATACGTCATATCCTATCAAAACTGAGAAGAAACTTTTAGTATCGGTTTTAATGCACAGAAAGACGCCCGTACGGCAAAAACAGGACGTTGAATACTTGCCAAACGTCAAAAATAGATCCTGTTGCACATGGAAGGGAATCTCTTTAAGGCCTACACGCTGAGTGATCAAATGTTTCGGCCTGAGACGGACAGAAAGAAAAATGAGTTTAAAACTGAAAGGGAAGTATAACAACTGTTTCAATTGAAAACAAACGCTACACAAAGTACAACGCAGTTACTGTTATCTGCGATCCAGAAAGGCGTAAGCAGAAATCATCTCCAGAAATCAGAGTCGTTATTGAGAAACATGTACTCCTTTTAGCCAGTCACAAAATTCCTGGCCTTTTATAAAACCCTAAAGTTCATTACACTCTTCACAAGAGCCCGCCACCGGTCCTTGGGGTCCCATAATCCTTGTACCCTATTTCATTAAGATGCATTCTTACGTGTTATTTATGTTCTAGAGTCAGCGAAGAACACCTTATGTTTTATATATTACTCCATATTTATTAATGTTTTCTTTAAATCATTGCTTTACAGACTAATATTGAACATCAGATGAACCACGCCTTATAAAAAACAATACCTTCGTTCTAATATATAAGAGTAATCTGATAAGAACATTTCAATAAACTGCATAACATTGTAAATGATTGTAATTCGAGTTTTAAATTTTACCAATCTAATTTATACCTGAGGACGGTTAAATATAACCGAAACATGTCGTAAGAGAACGTTCCAATTTGTAAATCGATCATTCGATGCGGAACGTGAAATGATATTTTAAATATTTTATATTTTATTATCTTATTAAAATTGTGATTTGACGGAAAATATTAAAATATAAAAAATTAAATCAGAAATGATTCTTCGTTGGATAGGATGGGCTTTTGAGAAAAGGTGATTCATTGAGGTGTAACTTTTCCTGAATTTGTAACATGTGTTGTGTGAATTGAAACCAATTTATTTTCAGTTGTTACATTTTTTAACCGTTCCGCGTTAAAATAACTACGCGGAGGGATATATTTCTCGGGGAACTAATATTACCTCGAACAGTCAAGAAATAATCATCATTTATCGTTTGAACAAGATAACGATATTGGTTTCTGTTCTGAGATAGCTGAATCCAGTCAATATGGACCACATGTTATTTATTCAAAATCCGTTTTAATAATATCTCATATAAGTTTCAAAAGTGACATTTTATCTAAGATCTCCCGATTAACATTTTGTATGAATTAACATATCTCTCCCGTGCGTGCTACATAACCTATTCCATCTCATAGTTCTGATTAGCTTGTGATCTTAAAAATGTTTTGTGAGAGTATAAATTATGAATTTCTCATTGTAGTTGTATGGATTTTATTGCTTTATTTTCTCGTCGGTCCGTATATTTTCCTCAGGTACCTATTAGTGGTTCTTATGTCGTCAGTTCATATTAACGCAGGAAGAAGGACCAAGTTTTACACTCATAAAAACTTCAGGTGAACGATCAATTCTATTTTTTTAGCCTTTTAATTTTTACATATTCTTATGTTAGACGTAAAAAAATTCTGAACTGAATATTTTCGTGAATTATCTGGATTCAATCCACTCGTAATTCCCTCGAAAATGTAATTTGGATTTTTTTTTTAACGTCGTTCCAAAACTTACATGAACTTGTCATATTTTCTAACTATTTATTATAGGCATTTTCTCATCGCTTTCTCGCCCCGTGTTCCCATGCCCAGGAAAGTTTTCTAATTACACCAGGTTTCCATTTAATCCAATTTCTACGATAAACGGACATTGTGTCATTTCTAATATCTGTCGCTACTAAAATTTTCATCGGCGTATGGAGTAGATATCAAACTATTGTATTCAGGACGTAGATTTGTTTCATTAAACCCCTCGCTCCATTCAAATTCGCACCTGCATTAAAGTTTTTTTTTCAATAAAAATTCTATTTATATTTTAATATTCAGTTTTCATGGGAAGTGTTAGTTCACATGCGATATTTCTGTGTTTATGTTTTATTACTCCACACCTATTTAGCCTTTCGTCTGAATGCCACAACGCATATGGAGGATGTTCGTTTTTGGAGGAGTCTGGGGTATACCTGGATTGCCTTCAGGCATTGAGCATTAATTCTGAAACCATATCCATACATAAACCCTTGCCATAACATTTTCTGTGCTCAGAACTTTATCTCGTTATCCTTGCTACTGCATTAATTGGAGAAGGCCTCAGATGTTTAAAATCTATTTTAAGCTTGTTCAGTGGTCCATAAATTTGCTTTTACCCTTGTTGCGGTGTGCGAGGTAGGATAGTGTGTGTGTGTGTGTGTGATCCAGACCGACGTAATAGAAGTCTAAGCCACTTCCTAAAACAGTTCTGGAACGCAAGGGGATATAAATTTAAAACACGAAACTCTGTTTGAGGTTTTGTGGGAAATTTACCCATCCCTTTTGTTCGGGTACATCCGTAACAGGTCGGTTAACTTCGTACATAATAATTATACAGATGCTTAGAGATTAATAGCCGAACTCAGGACGATAATAGAGCATCAGACAGTTGCTGATTCTGTATTGGGTCCAATAATATTGGTAAGAGATCGGGTGGTAAAATAAGTAACTGAGTAAAATCCTGACTTTGCATATAAACATTCACTTGTAAAATATCACATTACATTCCCCATTTATGTACATGATTGTGACCTTCCCTTCGAACGTTTTCTGATGATTATTGTTCTTTATCAAGATAGACGTCAAGACTGTATTCTTTGATGACAAGTCGTGTATTCTGGTAGACGTTTACGGACGTTTCAGAGGCAGCAGACAGTTCTGAAACTTCTACCAGACATGGTGCAGCATCCCTTAAGAGAGTCATCTCTGTAGACGCCGCCATGATAACATGAAATCTCACAAGACATCAAGATATTCTTCAGAATATGACAGGAAGTCTTTATTTAATCATTGACAATTGGACAGTTTGCAGAAAATATTTAACGCATCGCATTCCCAACATGAGACCACGCACTTCATGTGCCTGAATAAAGAAAGACGGAGACTTGAGGGAGGAAAGACAGATGGGCGACTTAGTGGGGACTCAGCTCTTAACTTGATTGAATCCTTGTCACGATTGAGCTGCAGGGAGGTGGTCTACACGAGGCCCTATAGTTGTGCCTCTGGAACCTTATGGGATAGTTCACGTCTGTCTGTCACGTTTTAGCAACAGCCAAGTGATCTTATTTTTGGAAGACCAACTACAGAATTCAAGGGGTCTCATTATCATGAAACGATCACCTGTGATTATATAATATCTGTGCAAAAATAACCAAAAACGAAAGAAACGAATTCGGATCACTTTAGTGAAATAACGATCTAAGTGACGTGGCGTTAAGAGCAGCTTTGGGATGCCAGCAGAAAATCTACCCCGACGATCGAGTCATTAATACGTGTTTATATTGTTGCTAAAATAATAATAATTCCTCGATGAATTATTTAGTGACCCTCTGAGAATACCTGAGGTTG